CTTCACATCAATCTCAAACTCTTCCTGATGAGTTTATTCCTGGAGAGTTTATTTATTTGTCTTTGTTTTTGTGGTACTTTAATAAAAAGAGCCCACAATCATATGTAGAAACAGGGTATTGTTTCTACATCATGTGATTTTGGGTCAGTTAGCTACTTCTCCATGCCTCAGTTTCCTCATCTGTATAGACAGGATGATTAGATTACCTTTTTCATAGAGTTGCTACGATGATTCGCTGAGGTGGTACTTATGAAGCACTCAGGACAGTGCTTATCACATAGCAAGTGCTACTTAGGAGTTGGTTAATATCCAATTTTTATACCTCTCATTTCTCTTTGTCTGCTTCATTAGGGGATCCCTCCACCCTAGTGATATGTGAGTGGTTGTTTTGTTCCTGATTCTCATGGGAATGTTTCTAGTGTTTTGTTACAAAGTGTGATGCTGAGGTATATGATTATTTTCATATTAAAAGAGTTTCATTGACTCTATTTTGTTGACAATCAAAAATAGATGTTGATTTTGTTAAAAGTGAACATCTGTTAATAAGATGGGTTTCCCAATCTAGATCTGTCAGTCAACTTTTGCTTTGTATATTTGGAGGCTATGCTATTAGGTGTATACCAATTTAAAATTATTATTTATTCCTAGGGAAATGGATTTTTTTTTTATCATTATGAAGTGACACTTTTATCCTCTGGAAATTTTATTTTTGCTTTAAATTATATTTTGTCTGAGAAGCAATTATATTTCATTAATTATTTTGTGTTTGTTGCAAATCTGTATCCTTCTGGTTATATTTGATTAGTTTACCTTTTTCCATCTTTTCATGTTCAGTCTTTCTGAGTCCTTAAATATAGATCCATCTTTTGTAAATGGCTTATAATTGAATTTGGTTTCCTAATTAAGTTTGACAACACTTATCCTTTAACTGGGACACTGGTTCATTTAAATTTAATGTAATTACTGATAAATTCTTAGGTTCTAATCTGTTACCTTACCATGTGTTTTCAATGTGTTACACTTATTCTATGTTCCTTTTTTCTCTTCTTGCCTTCTTTTGGATTGATTAGATATTTTTTATTATTCCATTTACCTCTGTTAGTTTAGCAATCCTGTGCTCTTCCTTTATTACTGCTTTCTTTTTTAATATTAAGGTTAAATGAGGTCTAAAAAAGCTCCCAGAAGAGTACTGGGTTCAAGCTAATAAAGACATTTCATTCATGGCCAGCTTGAGTGTGTCCTCAGGGGGCTATAGCTTAAAGAAGAGATTTAATTTCTTTGCCTCAATAGAGTGTATTAACAGCAGTTCCATTCTGGTTTGTATAGATAATGGGATTATTTACCTGGCTGGTTCCACGGTTAATGAGGTGAACCAATAATAGTTGTCATCAAGAATAACATATAAATCTGTTTCAAAGAGATAAGTCATTTGAGTGTCATAGCTTTGAGGTTTACTTTTTGCACATTCCAGAGGTCTTAGCCTTGAATAATCTACAACTAAACTTGTATTTAATAATGACCCTAACCATGTGAATGATATGAAGAGTTAAAAGGATTTGAATGTTGGGCCTCCCTGGTGGTGTAGGAGTTAAAGTCTCAATGCAATCAAGCTATCACCAGCCACTGTGCCATGTGTTCGATCCCCTGCCAGGGAGCTAACCCAAATGGCACAGCAGACCTCTCCTGTCTCACCTGCTGCTCCCCTTAGCAGTGTATTTCAGTCAATCTGCCTGTTCTGCTCCCTACTCTGTCTCTGGTGAATCCTCTCACCCACCCCCAACCACCCCCACAACTCTGGCCTGTACCCCTGTTCTTGTATGCATAAATAAATAAAAATATTTTTAAAATACTTCGTATGGAAATAATACTTTTTATGTAAAGCTAATATAGCAATATGAAAAATGATCAGCCCAATGATACTATTGAGGGTCCAGCAATCAGCATTATGCATTGATATTTTGGTACTTGCCTTGATAAGCTTTTACAAAGGTACATAATATTTTAAACACACAACTTTGTGCAAAGTGAGTTGAAAAACTACAGTCCATTATTGTATATGTTACCATAAAATTATACTATGCATTCTTAACTGGTCCAACCACTATGGAGAGCTGTGTGGAGATTTCTGGACCTACTAAACATAGAGCTTCCATATGATCCAGCAATTCCACTCCTAGGTATTTACCCAAAGGACACAGAAACATCAATTCCAAAGAGCACCTGCACCCCTATGTTTATAGCAGCACTGTTTACAATAGCTAAGCTTTGGAAACAACCCAAATGCCCAAAAATCGATGACTGGATCAAGAAGATGTGGTACATATACACCATGGAATATTACTCAGCATTCAAAAAAGATAAACACATGCAATTTGCAGCAACATGGGTGGCGCTGGAAGGGATCATGCTCAGCGAAATGAGCCAGAAAGAAAAAGAAAAATACCGGATGGTCTCACTCATAGCAGGAATCTAGAAAACTTAAATAAGGGACCAGGAAAATGAATAAATATAAGAAAGTGAAAATCAAAATCAACAAAAAACTATGAACCAGACACTTTTTGGGGGGTGGGGGGCGGGAGGGGAGGATTGGGGTCAGAATGGGGGGGTTGCAATTGTATGGGGAATATAAAAATAAAATTTATTATTTAAAAAAAATTATACTATGCATTCTTAACTTACCAAAGCTTAATAACTCAGTAGTCTTTGATGTCAATCAATTCTTACTATTATGTATTTTAATTCAATGTTTATCTATAATTGAAACTCCTCAGGAAATTATTATTGCTTTATATAGTCAATGTTTAGATTTATACACATATTTATCATTTTTATTACTCTACATTATTTCTTCCATCTCTGTTGGCGGATTCTCTTATTTTCATCTCAAAGTGTCTTTCTTTCCCCAATTTCATTTTTTAAATTAAATTTCCAACTTCATTTTTGCAGGGTATTTTACTGCTTATAAAATTCTAATTGGCAGTTATTTTCTTTCAGCCTAATGAAGATAATATCCCACCATCTTCATTTTCTCTTGTTACTACTGAAAAGTCAACTCAATGTTTCTTTGAGTGTAATTTACTTTTTCTCTGGATATTTTATAAGTTTCTATCTTAGATGTTTGCAATTTATATAATGTGTCTAGGCATGGGCTTCTCTCTCTCTCTTTTTTTTTTAAAAAAAAGATTTATTTATTTATACAAGCACTGGGTACAGTCAGAAGCGCAGGAGGGTGAGAGAATTCACCAGAGCCAGAGCAGGGAGCAGAGCAGGCAGAAGGACCGAAGTTCACTGCTGAGGGGAGCAGCGGGCGGCAGGAGAGGTCTGCGTGCCATGCGGGACCCTTCTCCCGTGGCCGGGGAGCAGCCGGGGATCGAACCCGCACTGCAGAGGCTGCGGGCAGCTTCACAACCCAGCGCTCAACCACTGCGCCACCAGGGAAGCCCTCTCTCTCTTTTTTTATGTCTTGTTTAGAATTTATAGGACTTACTAATTCTGTAGATGCACATCTGTTATTGTTTCTAAAATGTCTCACCATTTGTCTTTTCAAGTATTACTTTTTCTCTGTTCCTGTTCCTAATTCAACTATGTTACCCTGTTTCACCGTAAGCCTATGTCCCTTACCTTCTGTATTTTCCATCATTTTGTGTCTCTGGGCCATTGTCTTCTGACTTCTCCCGTAGTTCACTTATTCTTTATTCTATTGTCTTAAATTTCAGTTTTGTGTTTTTCAGTTCTGTCCCTTCTAATTTGTTCTTCATCCTATCGACTATGCTACCTTTATAGCTTTCAGTTCCCTGGTGATATTTTCAAACTTCTGTTGTCTTGAACATGGGTAAACATCGTTGTTTAGAGTCATTGTATGATAAGGCCCAGTAACTGGAGCCCCTGTGTTCCTGTTAATTCTTGTTTCACGGTTGCTAATATTGTCTTGTTCATCTTCTACCTGGTTAGCTTTGATTTTATGCCAGATATTGTTTCTAAAAAAGTATTTTTTTAAGATTTATTTTATTTATTTATGCATACAAGAACTGGGGTGTAGGCCAGAGATGAGGGGGAGGGTTGAGAGGATTCACCAGAGACAGAGTGGGGAGCAGAACAAGTGATCTACTGAAATACACTGCTGAGGGGAGCAGCCGGGGATACAGGAGAGGTCTGTTGATCCATGTGGGTTAGCTCCCTAGTCAGCGATCCATCAAACTCATGCCACAGTGGCTAGTGATAGCTTGACAGCACTGAAACAGGGAGACCACTCTTGCGCCAACAGGGAGACGACTCTAAAAAAGTATTTGTAGAAATAATTTCAGACTCAAGATGAAGTTATCTTCCTCCAGAGAGAATTTATTGTGCCTATTCCAGGTGTCCTGAACTGCCTTACATCAAGTTTTGAGATTTTTTTGTGTGTTACTGTATGACCAGAAGAAAGATGCAGTCAGAGGGAAGGCTAATTTATACCAGGATTACTTATATCATGAGCCTCTCAGAGTCGCAGCCCAAAACTCTGAGCTAAGTGGTTTACCAGTACCCCTACCTATGGTGGATCCCGCCCTTTGTCCCCCACCCTCTGGGGCTGGCCAAAGGATATCTTAAACTCTTAGCAAATGTTCCTGGAAAAAGTGAGTCTAAGTGTTTTGCTCATCAATATGCACTCTTGGGGCCTGAGTTCATTCCCCAGCTGCCAGGGAGCTACCCATATGATGCAGCAGACCTATCCTGTCTTGCCCGCTGCTCCCCTCAGCAGTGTATTTCAGTGGATCTGCCTGTTCTGCTCCCCACTCTGTCTCTAGTGAATCCTTTCACCACCTGCACCTCTGGCCTGTACCACAGTTCTTGTATGCATAAATAAATAAAATAAATCTTTAAAAAAATATGCATTCCCAGCTTCTTTTGAATCGAATTCAGTAATAGATACCTATCGTGTTAACTGTGATATTTAATTTTTTTTGGTTCTACTTTGCCTAGCTTTTAGATTTTTCTTCATGGAGAGGATTAGGGTACATTACCTAGTCCACTGCTACTGGAAGAGGAAGTTCTGGATAATGGTAGTAGAGTTTCATACTCCTTGTATTCCTACAATAAATAACAGATGGTTATAATCTATTAATTTTAATATGGTATATTCTATTTACTAATATTGACTTTGGACTTTTGGCACTAATATTAATTAGTGAGCTACATCTATATTTAGGTATTTAGTAAAGTCTTTAGTGGTTTTATATCAATCTTTTGCACAAGATTTTGGAAATTTTTTTGTCCTTTTCTATAGTGTATAACAGCTTAAACAGCCCTGGGGTAATTTCCTCTTCCAAGGTTTGGTAGAATTCCCCTGTGAAGCCTTTTAGGACAGTGGTTTTAATTATAGTCATTGGGACCCTTGCTGAGGTGCTGTGGATGGGAGACATGTAATCTCAATGATAGATAGTATTTGATTCACACCAGTGCACACAGTTGGAGCAATTGTGTGATTAAGACATTTAATTCTAATAAATTTTCAATACCATGAAATTATAGAGATTAAATTATTATTTTGTATTGTTGCAAGAGCCAAACAACTATAAAACCTCATCTTATGCTCTAACCTTTCTCAGACTAAAATATGTGCATTGAACCTCATTCCAAACATTTATTCTGCCTTTCTCGGCCAAGCAATCTCTAAAGATGTGTCTTGTTGCTTCAGGCCATAATGATACCACTCCCTCTAACCCCCAGAGCTAATCTCCTATAAAATTTGACATTTGCTCATCAGAAAACAATTGTTATTTCTGGGCTTCTTATCTGTGCTGTTTTCCCTCACAGGGGGAGGGTTTCATCTCTTTGATTACTCCTATAAATGGAGTAAATGTAATCATTAAGAATAAAGATGAAAGCAAGATGGGGAGGTGGAGCATCAAATCTACGCTCTAAAGCAAAATCAAAATAAATAAACAAAACCCCAATAACAGCAAAATTCCATAGCCAAAGGGCTTGGGTGCAAAGTGACCTTTGCAAGAGGGTCAGATTTCCTAGGAAGTATGGTATATGGAGTGTAATTTAGGGCTTCAAAGTAATAGGAGACTGGGGGCAACTGAATTTGAACTCCCTCTTGTGCCCCCTAACCCCCAGACCTGGGGAAGACGGTGGAAGTGAAGGTCACTCCCAAGTTTATAAATGATTGAATTTCAGAGGGATATTGTCTGACTGGCTAGTATGAACCTGCTTGTGTGGCTGATGTGATTTTGCTAGCTAAAGGAAGTTAGTTAACCACTAACAAAGGGAAGCTAGAAATTCTAGTGCACATTCATGCCTGTGTCCCTATCCAGATTGTAATCTCCTTGAGGGCAGGGATTCTATTTTTAATCTCTGATTCCCACTGTCGCAGATTTCATGCCAGTACATTGAAAGAGAGAAATAATTAAAATAACGTTTTACATGAATTGATGTATTCATTCAGTGAGTATTGATCGCATGTCTGTGTCAGGCCCGGTGCTGGTGCCCGCAATAGATCAGAGAAGGGAGGAGGGAGAGGAGAGGCGGGCTCCTCCGACAGTGGATGTGGGTTCACCCTGCGCTCTAGAAAGCCTCCCCATCTGCTGTCGGTGGGATCTGCAGAGGACCTAGCAAAGAGTCTCGGGGTGGGGGTGGGGGTGGGGGTGGGGTGGGGTGGGGTGGGGTGGGGGTGGGGTGGGGTGGGGCTGGGGTGGGGGTGGGGTGGGGCTGGGGTGGGGCTGGGGGAATGATTCAGCCTCTGGTGGCCTCTTGTTGCCGCAACCCCCTAAGAAGTCAGCAGCGGTGAGCTCTCCTTGGGTGTGAAAAGATGAAGAAAACTGGGGCCCTGACAGTCGCTCACAGACCGAGGCCCAGCGTGCAGAGTTTATAATCTGTGCCCTTGCTGTTACCAGAGAAAGAAAATTTGCAGCGAAATTGGGGGTGAGGGAGCACGCCTTTTTCGCAGATGGCGGAGGTGTGGTTTCGGGAGGGACCGCGGCAAGAGCTCTAAATGAGGCGATGGCGCGCCCCCTGCTGGAGTCAGGGCCGTTCTGCAACTAGCGGAGCAAGGACTTAGGGAGCTTGAGAGGGGAGAAAGCGAGCGATTCCTTGTTCCTCCAAAACGCAGGCAACAAATCTCCAAAGGGAAAAATCCATCAAGCTGATCCTGGGATCCCCACCTTCCCTACCTTCTTGGAGAACCCAGAAGGAATCAGGAATGGATACGTGGCAAACAAAACTCCATCAGTAGCCGAGGCCTCTGCTACCCACTCTGCAGGCCAGATCACTACCCCCCGGGTGCTTCAAGGCCCTTCTTGGGCTCACCCTCAGGGGGGAAAGGATTGTGAATTATTGTAAACCATATCGTAAAACATATGGACTTTTTATGCAAATGCCAGGACCCTGTGCGTGGGTAATAATACAGATACAGATAGCGTGGCTTGGAAAGCCTATATCTAACTTACCGACATCTCCCTTCACCGTAACCGGATATAATTTGAGAATTTTCTGAAAAGAAAGACTTTAACGCCCCCAACTAATCTCTTCCAAACAGCGATAATTATAAATTCCAAACAAAAACTTAGAGGCATGTGAGCCTCTTTCAGGCTTTTCATTTCAATAGATTCACTAATTAAAAGCTATAATTTAACAAATAATGATCTAACCATCTCACTTTGAAATCAAACAAAAACCTACCACTAAAACGTTGGGTGAGATAAAGATAATGAATCTGGGCGCATTCAGACTCCTGCTGGGCCCATGTTGGCCCTCTTCCAGCAACTGGGCCTGCAATCTTTGATTAGTAGCAATAGTTTTCCAAACCATTTGGAGCTCACTCACTACAGGGAGGATAAGAGCACAATTTGTGAGGCTAAGTGTTTTTTTGGACCCACTCCCACTGCTGATGAGCAGGATGGAATATTTATTCTTCCTTTGCCCTTATTCATTGTCACTTGGTCAATTTCATTTTCTCCCTGATCCTTCTTTGGCTGTTGGGGAAGAAGGTTGTTTCTGAAGTCACAAGCAGGATGGAGCTGGGAACTAGCAGTGAAACCAGGTGATGCTCACTCAATGCTCACTCAGCAGCCTAAGTGGTTAACAAAATAACAAATGATGAAAGTAAGTTTGCTTCCCACCTACCAGCCACCTCCCTGAGCTGGGAATTGGGCATCTGTGCCAGGCTAAAAATAGCCTTGTGTTCTGGAACCTCCCCCGCAGCCCCTGCTCGCACCACTCACCCTGTATGCCACCCGGGCTGATCTTGGGGAGCGCTGTTCTCCATGGCAGGAGGGTCTCTATCACAGGCCTCTTCTCAGAGAGCTGGGAGGCAAAGAGAAGTGAGTATCTCTAAAAAGGCATCAGGAGGTGGCAAAGGGCACCCCATGGATCTGAGACAGGAAGGGACACTGGGTGAACCCTTGGGAGTGACACCCCAGCTTGGACACTCTGTATCTGCCTGCAGGCTCAGGGAGGAAGGTCCATCCATGTGGCGCGCTTACCTGCGGGTCCTCAGCCCGGGACTGTTAACATCTGCAGAAACTGCTCCTGCTTTGAAACATGAAACCCTGATGTCCCACTCTTGAGCACAATTCCTGTCTTTTATCTCCCCATCCCCATCATTCTATCTGTGCCCATTTTCAGCCTCAACCACACCTCCAACCTTGTCATCCTCATCTATTGTCATCAATATTGTCATCCTCAATGCTACCATATATGGGGTACTTAAGCTGTGCCCAGCACAGTCTGCCTGTTCTGTTCCCCACCCTGGTGAACCCTCTCACCCCTGCAGCTCTGGCCAGTTCTTGTATGCATAAATAAATAAATCTTTAAAAAAAAAAAGAAAAAAAAAGGATATTCCTACTAGTAGTTTTCCAATACACCCTCCAAATCACCCATTCCCTTGTGGGCAAATGCTTAACCAAACAAGACTGGCCCAAAGTGAGGTCACTGAGGCACAAAAGCTCGCCACCAATCTAAGATACCTTCTGGTGGTGAACAGCAAGTCTGGGTTTAGGCAAGTCTTAGAGAGCTGGGACAAAAGGAGATGCCACATCAAGATAATGCTGCCATTGCCAGTCTCCCCACATCTCTCACCCATGTCTCTCCCAATTCTCCTACATCTCCCTCTTCCTTATGTCTCCTTCAAGTCTCCCTAAGTCCCTGGGTGCAAGTCAAGGCTAGAGAAGCAAGCACCCCAAAGCCCACATGCCTTATATATGTGTTATATAACTTTATCTGCTTGCTCAGTTCCACCCCTAATTTCTAGTAGCTCCTTGACTCGGGAAGTGCGGTTCATGGCATACTGGGACTAGTAATCTAAGGTAGCTTCATGTGAGGGTGGGGAAAATGGTGCCGGTTCACTGCCATGCAATGCTCTTTCCCCTTTTACGGTGATGCATTCTATAGCAGAGGAGCCTTGTTTTCCCTCATGTCATATGCCTGAATTATTTTTCTGGTGCTAATGGGTTAGTTTTGGACCTAGCCCAGGTCCAAGGTGGCTGTGATTGTATATGAGCATGACCAACCGGCCATGACCTGGGTCTGTGAGAGTCTGTCCAGTAGGGATGCTCCATGCTGGGTGTAAGTGTCATCCAGTCAGATTTTCTCTGGAGTTATACACGTGAGGTGCACACTCACAATGATGTGTAGACAATGGAAGGCTACTTCCACAAAGATGGCAAGCAATTACCACAGTAACTGTAGGGCCCGGAAGCATGTGAACCTTTCAGCAGTCTGACCATGCAAGGACTGTTACCAACTCTACTTCAGAGAGGAGAAAACATAGACTTAAGCAAGTTCAGAAACTCGGTCATAGTCGTGGTCTGGAGATTCAAACCCAGGCAGTGGAACTGAAGAAACTGTGTCCAAATTTCCCCTTCTTCTAAGGACACTGCAATAGGCCCTACCTTTGTGACTTCATTTTGACTTGATCATCTCTGCAAAAACTCTATTACCAATTACGGTCACATTTGAAGTGCTGGAGTTAGAACTTCAACATATCTTTTTGCGGGGAGCACAATTCAACCCATAACACAATGAAAAACAACCTTATAGCAAAATGATGTAATTTTGACCAGTTTCTGATCCAGCTTTATATCCTTTATGTGCTGGCACATGAGTTTTTCACCATATTTTTTCTTGTTAAGACTGAGCTCCTGTAAGTAAAATAGTTTTGTAAATTGCTCAGAGGTATTTCATACAAAGGGCTTAAGAATTATCATTCAGGGCCTCCCCGTTGGTGCAGCGGGTTGAGTGCTGCATTGTGAAGCTGTCTGCAGCCTCTTCAGCGTGGTTGATTCCCAGCCTGCCAGGGAGAAACCCACATGGCTCAGCAGATCTCTCCTGTCTCGCCCGCTGCTCCCCTCAGCAGTGTTTTTGGTCTGTCTGCCTGTTCTGCTCCCCTCTCTGTCTCTGGTGAATTCTGTCACCCTTCTGCCCCTCTGACCTGTACCCCAGTTCTCGCATAAATAAAATCTTTAAAAAAAAATTCAAGAGCTTATTGCTATCAAGTTGTCCTAATCTGCTTTCCTCTACAGAAATTTCTTTAAAAAAAAAAAAAAAAGAATTATCATGCTGGTGGATTATTACCAAATAGCTTTCAATGGACTGGAGGACAGAGGGAAGCAATCCCTGGTACCCGTGCCAAAGGTGACATGACCAGACTATCTGCTTTGACTTCTTCCCGCCAATTCTGGAACCTCTGCTCACTGACCTTTCCCCACTTTCATCAGCCCTTCCTTCTATGTCTATAGGACTGGCCCAAGTGACACCCAGATATCTGGCTAAGCGCTATTCTGGGCATGTCTGTGAGGGTGTTTCTGGAAGAGATTAGCATTTGAATTGGTGGACTGAGCAAAGCAGATGGCCTCCCCAGTGTGTGTGGGGGGCCTCATCCAATCAATTTAGGGCCAGAACAGAACAAAAAGGTAAAGGAAGGTTGAATTACTTCTCTGCCTGATTTTAAGTTGGTCATTTTCTGCCCTTTTGCCATTGGCTTCCCTGATTCTCAGGCCTGTGGATTTGGCCTGAATTAAAAGATTGACTTTCCTGGGTCCCCATCTTGAAGATAGCAGATAGGGGCACTGCTCAGCCTTCAAAATCATGTAAGCCAATTAATAAATCTCTTTATAATTCTCTTGATCGATCGATGAATAGAGACAGATACAGGTGTAGATATTATCCACATCTCTCTACATCTATATATACTAATTTCCCATTCGTTCTATTTCTCTGGAGGACCCTCCTGGTCAGCGTATTTTCCTAATCAAGTTCTTATTTGTTCCCAGGTAACAAGCTACCTTAAAGGAAAAAGAAAAAGAAAAATAGCCATTTTTCACTGTTACGAATTCATCAGGAATAGGAACAGGAGCAAAACTTTGTTATACTTAAGGATTCCACCAGCCGTTTTTACATTATTTTGTGTCTTCAAGTGAGAGGACGTATATCTTGACAGCATTGTGTTGTTTTGTTATTTAAATAATCCATTTCCCTTTTATTTTTTCATTACTTCTATATTTGGATTAAAAATTATACACGGTGGGCCTCCCTGGTGGCACAAGGGGTTAGGACAAAGCCTGTGAAGCTGTCTGCAGCCTCTGCAGTGCGAGTTCGATGCCCCACCAGGAGCAACCCATGTGGCGCAGCAGACCTCTCCTGACTCGCCAGCTGCTCCCCTCAGCAGTGTACTTTGGTCAATTTGCCTGCTTGGTTCCCCACTCTGTCTCTGGTGAATCCTCCCACCCCCACACCTCTGGCTTATACCCCAGCTCTTGTATGCATAAATAAATAAATCTTTAAAAAAAAAGACGAAAAACTAATACATTCAATTAAAAAAAAATTATACACGGGCCTCCCTGGTGGCTCAAGGGGTTAAAACACAGCACTATGAAGCTGTCCACAGCCAGGGAGGTGACACACATGGAGCAGCAGACCTCTCCTGGCTCCCCCAGGGCTCCACTCAGCAGTGCATTTCAGCAGATCTGCCTGTTCTCCTCCCCACTCTGTCTCTAGTGAATCCTCTCAACACCCCTCCCACCTCTGGCCTGTACCCCAGTTCTTGTATGCATAAATAAATAAATCTTAAAAAAAATTATACACATCTGGGGCCTCCCTGGTGATGCAAGGGGTTAAGATACAACCTATGAAGCGGTCCGCAGCCTCTGCAACACAAGTTCTATCCCTGGTCAGGGAGCTACCCCACATGGCCCAGCAGACTTTCTCCTGACTCGCCCGCTGTTCCCTGCAGCAGTGTATTTCAGTACATCTACCTTTTTTGCTCCCCACTCTCTGTCTCTGGTGAATCCTCTCACCACCTGCACTTCTGGCCTGTACCCCAGTTCTTGTATACATAAATAAAAATAAATCTTAAAAAAAAATAAACACATCTAAAGTATATATATGACAATTTGACAGATATATACGTAGTGAAATGACTACATCAAATTAATTTACATAGCTCCTCACATGATCACCATTGTGTATGTGAGGGGTACCCCTGAAAATTATGTGCTATTTCATGATTTGCATATTATCCTTGGGCAGGGGCCATGCTAATCCTCTCTGTGTCTTTCCAAGTCTGATATATCTGCTGCCAAAGGGAGCATTTGATAGCCTTTTCTTTTGTGATGTCTTTTCTTTCTTTAGGAAGCTTTGAGGATACAGAAACATCTTGTCCTGTAGTGCTAGAAGTTTTAATACTTGATTTTTTAGGCCCTCCATGGTGGTGCAAGGGGTTAAGACACAACCTATGAAGTTATCTGCAGCCACTGCAACATGAGTTCAGTCCCCGGCCAGGGAGCTACCCACATGGCGCAGCAGACCTCTCCTAACTTGTCCACTGCTCCTCTTAGCAGAGTATTTCAGTCAATCTGCCTGTTCCCCGCTCTGTCTCTGGTGAATCCTCTCACCCCCACATCTCTGACCTGCACCCCAACTTTTGTATGCATAAATAAATCTTTAAAAAAAAATAAAAGGCCACATCAGGTTGATCTGTAATGACAGTTTGTCTTGAAACCTAACAGCCTCTGTTTATCAAGTGATGGGTGGTACTCCTGATTTTGCTGTTAAACAAGGTGGAACTTGGCAGCCATTAGGCACAAAATCAGGGGCTTTCTTTAAACTCAAAAGTAAAGTTGGCCACACATGGTCTTGTAGGATTTGGGGTCTCAAAGGCTGCTATTTCTCTGACAAACACTGGATCCCCACGCTGTGCAGTAAAACGGCGTGTAGCCCTCCACATCTCAGAGAATGATGATGGGAGATGGGCTTTCACAGCTGGGCGCTGAGGGTAAGGCTGTTAATTGATTATAAGATCTGTGTGAACTCCTTACAGGGATATTTCCATTTCAAATGAGGTCAGTTTCAAGTTCTCTTCCTTTTCCTCCTCTCCAAAGTGAGAAGGAACTTTTAAGGACAAGAGCCTGATCTTGCAGCATCTCATGCAAAGCCTGATGATCAGTAAATACCCATTTGATAGAATCAAATGGAATCTGACCTACGTGTACATTAGGACTTTTTCTGTGACAAACAACAAGACTACAAATAAATGCACTGCTTAAATAATAAAGAGAATATTGCGGCTCCAGTAACTCAACAGTGTGGGGTAGATCTTTTTGTAAAGCTTCATCTAATCCTCAATTGCCGTGACCAGAAACCTAGTTTTTCTCTCACTGCACTTGCTGGCTCCCCTTCCCTGGGGCTAGCTCCATTCTGAGGTTGCCCTATGGAAAGAGCCTTCTCCCTGGGCCAGAGGCTTGCCCATGCCTGTTGAGCAGCTGAAAGTCTGTTCAAGTAATCCCCACACAGGAAGGCGGAGGGTGTGTGTTCCTGGACGCTCCAGTAAACGTTACTGGGCATCTCGTTGGCTTTGACTGGCAACATCCCTGAACCTCTTATTTCCAGTGAAGAGGCTAGGACTCCCTGCCAGTTTAAGCTGATCCTACCCAATCTGCAGAGAATGAAGGAGCAGTGAATCTCCGACAGAAACCTAAGATCACTTTGGTGGGTGAAGGGGTGGGGGTGGGTGGATGCCAGGAAAAGAACTGTACCATGGTGGTCCCCAGGGAAAGAGAAGTTCCAGGTTCCCTGCTCTACCCAAGGAAATGTGGAGCTGAACAGGGAGGGGGAAAGCTAGAGAGGAGACTGGAGAAGGAAGGAAGAAGACGGAGAGCAAGAAGGAGACCTGGAGGGGGCACGTGGAGCAGAGAGACATGTGAAGAAGCTGCACTTGCTTCTCAGCCTTGGACTTGTAACAGTGACATGGAAGGAGACACTTGAAAAAGACATCCCCCGTGGGGACGTTGAATTGACAGCATTTATCTTGATCTTGATTTTGCTCTTTTTCTTCCAGACTTGTCTGGTCCTTTCTGCCCCTTTCCTATGGGTACTTACCAGAAAGTTCCTTATACTTATGGCAAGCTTTCGGGCCTCAGTGACCCTGCATTGGGCCAACCCTGTTTGTTTTTTTTTTTTTAGTTTATGCATACAAGAGCTGGGGTACAGGCCAGAGGTGTGGGGGGGTGAGAGGATTCACCAGAGACAGAGTGGGGAACAGAACAGGCAGAGTGACTGAAGTGCACTGCTGAGGGGAGCAGCAGGCGAATCAGGAGAGGTCTGCTCTGCCATGTGGGTTCCTCCCAGGCCAGGGAATCGAACTTGTTCTGTAGAAGCTGCGGACAGCTTCATAGGTTGCGTCTTAACCCCTTGTGCCACCAAGGAGGCCAGGCCAACCCTGTTTGGCTGGACATTTACCCACAAGGGGATGGGTAAATTCAGGTGCTTGATTTGGAAACTATATTCTTTGTTGCACACTAATTGTATTACGTTCTTTCCATTAAAGGTCTTACATATTAGTATATTTGTCTTGATGTGGCAGATAGCAGAACCCATTTAGAGTGGGCAGGTTTTGGGGTACCCCTCTTCCTGCCCTGTAACTGAACCAGAAATCAAAACCACTCCAAACAGTTCTGAGGGAGGAGGGATGACTTGGGGCTGTTACTTCGTGGGTACTGCCCACAATTCTCTCAAGGGCCCCTCATGCTGGGACAGCTTCAGGTGAGAGAGGGGAAGGCCACATAGTCCTGGGCCATCCAGCTCGGTGAGAGGGAAAGGAGGAAGGTAGGCCTGACTCCCCACTTCCCATGTCTCCCAACCCCCTACCACTGGCCATATTTCTCCTGGCAATGGCAACTGCCCTTTGCCTTGCTCTCACTGACCAGCTTGTAACCGTTTGATAACATTTGCTTCAACCTCATGCACATGGGGAACAGTTTTCTGTTTCTGGGAAAACATTCATCAGCCTAATTCTTGTAGCCTTAGACTTGTTTGCATTTGCATGACTCAAATAACCATCGCTCGGAGAATTCTTACAGTATTTCCAAATAAATAGTGACGGTGCTATTTCTATTCTGTTACATAGTGACATGGGGGTTGAGAATGAGGCCTCGGACAAGAAAGGCTGCACCCTGACTAACGCAAACTGGAGACATGGCAACCCAGTGCTGCACATGATCCTAGATTGGACCAGGCAGGAAAAAAGATATAGTTTGAAGGGATATTAATGGGGCAACTGACAAAATTTGAGGATGAAGTGTAGAATAGATAATAGTATTATCTGGACAATTGTGCTGCAGTTATGTAAGAGAAAGTCTTTGTTCACATGAAATACACACTGAAGTCTTCAGGGGTAAAAGGAGCATGGTGTCCACATTTTTCAAATTGTTCAGGAGGAAAAAATATACATATAAAGAATAAATGAATAATGCAATTATTATGAGACAAAATACTTAAAATGGATGAATCTGGATAACTAATTATGGGGAAAAAAGGATTATGGAAAGTCTAACTGCTTGGGTTTGAATCCTGGCTCAGCTGCTAACTAATTAGCTCCAGAGTTAACCTAAGTCTCATTTTGCCCATCTATAAAATGGAGGTAATGGTAGCAGTTTGCTCATAGGTTTGTTAGGAGAAATAAATGAGAGAATCCATGAAAAGGAAGACAGGTCTGGCTCATGGTAAGAGCCAAGAGTAATAAATGTTAGCTATTTTATTATTATAATATTACTTTATTATTATTCCACAGTGTTCACAGTCCCTGGGATAAATAAGTAAAATAGAAACTATTCCTTCTAGGAGCATAGAAAGGGACCAGACAGTGGGACTCTTCCCCTTCATACGGGAAAGACTTGATCACATCTCACATTTCCAGCACATAGGGTATTAGGTAGTATTATGATTTATATTATATCTAATAATATGCATTATGCATTTTTCTGTAACTTGCCTTTTTCACTCAGCATGATGTCCTGGAGATCTTTCCCTAATAATACCAACAATCATTAACATTTACTGGAGCTTACCATGTGCTGGCCCAGTTCTGAGCACTGTCTTTCTCCATGCTGGTAAAAGAAAATTTCATTTGAAAGAAAACAGCAGGAAGGAGCGACCCAGTATTTTCACAATGGTTATACCAAAACTCATTGAATCATTTCCCAATAGATGGGCATTTTTTTTTATTTCTAATATTTGCAATTTGAAACAATGTTGCAATAACTCTCCTTGCACAAGCTTGGTAATATGACTTGTCTGGTACCAAATAAAGAAGAAGTTAAAAATAGTGACTGAGGGGTGCAAGGGAGTTAAGACACAGCACTAGGAAGCCATCCACAGCCTCTGCAGCATGGGTTCGATCCCCAGCCAGGAAGGTGACCCACATGGCACAACAGACGTCTCCTGCCTTGCCTGCTGCTCCCCTCAGCAGTGTATTTCAGTCAATCTGTCTGTTCTGCTCCCCACTCTGTCTCTAGTGAATCCTCTCGATCCCCACACTTCTGGCCTATACCGCAGTTCTTGTAGGCATAGATAAATAAATGTTTTTTTAAAAAAAGTGACTGAGAACAATTTGAGTAATAAAATCATAAAGTAGTATTGAACTATAACTCAAAGTTACATTAGATTTAGATTAGATAGATATCTGTGGGTCCATATGACATAAATAAATGTGCAAGAGGGGACAAATTTCCAATGCAGAAGAATTACAAATAATTTAAAATTTCAAATATGATGTGGTCTCCTGGATGGGATCCTGGAACACAAGAAGGATATTTTGCAAAAACTAAGGAAATATGAATAAACAATGGATTTTAGTTAATAATGATAATAATACATTATATTGGCTCATTAATTATAAAATATGCACCAAGGTAATGTATGATGTTAGCAATAAGGGAGACCGAATGTAAAGGATATGGAAATTCTGTACTATCCTCTCATTTTTCTGTAAATGTAAAATAATTTTTAAACATAGTCTATTAAAAAAAAGAGGAAAAAATTTTGGTGAGGGAAGTTATTGATAGAGGAATAAAATTTGGGTTTTTTAAGAGAGAGGAGGGAAGGGTCTCCCCAGCCCAAGAGGATGGATTAGCTTTGGCCAACTGGAGGAAAGAGGGTGCAAGTGGGTTCAGATAGCTGTTTGGGAGGGCACGGTGGGCATTCTTACTGTATGGCCTCTAAGATGCAAGAGATGAGGGTGGCCTATCTGCTGGAAGAGGGCTTATTGAAAAACTGGGTAACAAGTGGCAAAATTTTGGAGAGCCGGGGCCTCCCT